GTCGAAAGTGGTGTTAGATTTCTTTAGTCTTCACCCCGACACAAGTTTTCCTCAATTTCATTTCGTGCAGTGGTGTAGAAGAGGAAGGGATATTTTTGTCATAAGAGGAACAGGTATGGATTATATAGCAACTACATAGTATTGTGTCGTGTGATAAATCGGTCTCACTAGTATTTGATTTATTATGAAGACTTTGCTCTCTTTAACGGCTTTATACTTTGTTTGAATTTGTTTTTGTTTGAATAACTAAATGTTAGGGGCTGACAAAAGATTCGAGATAAAAATTCGTTTCAAACGAATTATGGTAGTTTATCTCCAAGATAAGGGAGTCTGTAGAGCAGTTGTCGGAGGCGCCCTGCATTATACATGGGATCGATCCCCGCGTCCCAGGCTCACCAAGCCTTCCATCCTTCCGGGGTCGGCAAATTGGTACCAGACATGTCTGGGAGAATAGCAGCACTGGCTCGATACATCGGTAGGCCACCGCGAGTCACTGTAAAAGCCAGATATGCATTCAATCACCTCCAATGATGCTTAGTGAAGTATATATAAAAAAGGGGCTGGTAGCAGAGTGGTAGTGATGCCGATCACCACGAACACGGTCCCGATTCGATTCCACCTCGTACTCACCTAGCCTGTCATCTACCCGAGGTCGTGAAATTGGTACCGGAGTTGTCCAGGAAAAGAATAATTCTTTGCAATCCAAGGAGGAAGTTTCTAGCCCGGCTTTCTCAGGTTACCAGTGAGAATAGACTTGGGCGGCATTCAATGGTATCAAGATGGTAGGGAAATCATCAAGCAGCAGCAGAAACCACACGTGAGAATTTGGAGGGCCGTCGTGAATGATGGATGCGAGGGAAACGAATCGAGTGTGGAAAATGCTGGGATCCGCACACTAGACGTGAAAGGTGGGCAGTACAAAGATGAAATAATGTGAATGCCTACTTGTTTAACGAACTGAGATGCCAGGTATTCTCTGGACTAATGTTTTATTCGCTTTAGTAACGTTGCTTGTCAACAGGTCAATCTGAAAGTGGAAAATTCTCTGTTGGCAACAAGGCGTTGGTGGGGCTGTCAATAACCGGCATGACTCATTTCTTATCAGGCTGCTACAATTCTTCAATATATGCATTATTCATTTAACTGTAAAATTTATAGAAAAATACTTTGGTATCTCATTATATAAAGGCACAACTTATGGCCAGACAAATATGTAACTGTACATTGCGAATTGGTCAATTCTTCATGGACGTATTAGCCTCCACATAATCGACAAAGCGAAGTTCTGCCTTATACCACAAACTCAATTGCCCCTAAAGGCTTCTTGTTCTACGTACGTTCCCTTTTCAGTTGGCTGGTGGAGAGTTTTCTATAACGTACTGTACCATTATGGAGGTGGCCTTGGAATGACATGAATTCATTAGCACGGAACGATGAAGGTTTTGCGTGTTCGTGGAAGAATTGGAGTTCACATGTCTTTCTGTACACCGATTGATTTATTTTTGATGGTATGGTTAGTTAGAGGCGCGTGTAGCGCAGTGGCTAGAGGTGGCCTGCAATGCACCTGGGTTCGATCCGGCGCCCAGGCTCACCAACCCTCCGGGATCAGCAGCTAGATACCAGATTTGTCTGGGAGGACAGTAACACTGGCTTAGGTTGGATATCGATTCAATCACCTCTAGAGATGCTTAGTAAAGTCGAATGCATGGTGCAATCGCTCATGCATCGATCAACGATGAGAGCTTTATCCTTCATTTTCATGTTTCTCTATTGTGGGTCTTCTTTGAGGCCACTGTGAGATGCAGTTGTAGTGACCGAAGATGCTAGCGTGCAGGAATAAAATTTGAAATTTGAGAAGTAACAGACCTCGAGCTGCCCGTATTTATCCCAATTTATCATGGCTTAGTTGTATAGTTTTAAACAATTACGGACTACTCTATATAACCAAGAAGGATTTACACACATCTTTCGTATTTCGTGAATAATATTGTTGATTTACAACATTTACGTCTTATTTGGGCTCAGCAACGAGATGTAACAGCGTCATTTGGCGCTACAAGGGTAGATATCCTCTCTGTTCGTTAGGCTACAAGTTGGAGAGAGACTTTCGTGTTATTTTGAAGGGTTCTGTTTATATTCAACGTCTCCCACAGCGTGTTAGAGGTTATGGGCTTCCTCAGCTGCCGTATTCGGAAGGACGTCACTTATTGTTTTAAGTGTCCTGAAACATTGTTTCAGCTGGCATTTTTCCATAATAGGCCGAGTTGTTGGTTCACATTGATGCATACCTCGAAGTTATTGAATATGGACCATCAGGATCGTTGTAGATCACAATTCTTATTCCATTCTTCTCCTCAGTCAATAATCCAGCTTTTATCAAGGTGTGAGCAAAGGTTCGACGAGAACAAATCTGTTCCGCTGACATCAATACTTGTTAAATCCTTCCACCTTAATGTTCTATTTTTGTCTACATAACTCTTATGGAAGAGTTTGGTTCCCTAGCAACACCCGCATTGGACCAGTTCAATCAAATCAAAGAGCTTTAATGACGCGAAGAAGAAATGGTTTCTATGAAACGAATTAGGCCGAGCCACACTTCAGCATTCTTTGTCGATTTCGTAGACGCGTTAAGTTCTTCAATTCCTTCGTCTCATCTCTCTTTTCACTACATCACTGGTCGTGATGATTTCTAAACCTTTTGAATATTTTTAGGGCTACAAATTCATTTTTTAGCAACGTGTGCCATTTTCAGGGAATCCACTTGGGATTCGGAGTCGTCCGGCCATATAATCGAAAACCCACAACATCCGTCATGCTTCAATTATACCCAGTTTAATCGCCCCTGTATTGCCGATGATACGTGAAATGTGACATGCTCGCATGCTTTGACTTTTACTCTTTGGTTGACACTTTAACAAAATAAAGTCTTCTTCAGAACAATCTCAGTGCTAAGGAAAACCATAACGCGATCCTACTCTTGCCTACGATAACCCACATGAACAGTCTATAAATTAGGAATACGAAGTGCTAGACTACACATAGTAATGTTTTTTTAGATTGTTCATCCTACTATGGCTTGCATTTCTTTCCACTTTTTGAAAGTATGGGTAGTAGTGAGGATACGAGCTATCGCTTTAGTGGCTACACGAATCTTGCAGAGTTTAGCAACCGCACCACCGGTGGAGACTTTAGAAAACCAGAGTGAATCGAGCTCAGTCTTCTACTTAAAAACATCTTAGCCAGATCGTCTCGTTTTTCTGGTTGTGGAGGTTACAAACTCGAATCTTGGTCATAGCTGAACCCTGAGTTCACTTTTTATACTGGGATTCTAGGTAGCAGTGTTGAATGTGTTTCCATTTTCATTCAGTGAATCCACGTTCCTGGTTTTCATGAGTACTTCGCGTTCCGATAGATAAGAAGGAGGGACTCTGTCTGGCGTACGAGAGAGTTCGTGCGTTCTTCGAATGTTTAGTGGTGAAACAACCACCGGGCACCGTACACTTGTCGGGCGCCAGAATGTCATACTAAATTTCGGAAGGGACCTGAATTGTCAACGTTACACACCCTTCTCCAGTGCATGAAGTTGTTGGATAACTGAACGTTGTTGCTCAAAAGATCGATGTAGAAGTCGAGTGTGTGCGTTTTGTACTCGGCTCATCCACGAACGGTCCTCTTCCATCGCAGAAGTAGTGAACGTTCATCTTGGGGGAATGTTTATTCCGGCCTGTGCAGCCTTCATGAACATATCCCGGATTTTTCTTGTTGTTGAAATGTTCCTTTAGGGCTTTTTTCTCAGCTTCTCAAGCTTGTCTAGCAATCATTCCTTCCTCGGTCATCTGGCGGCGACTCAGTGGCATTCCATTCCGATGTTGTGCAGGAAATACGACGTTTGGCAATATTTATAGTACCAGTTCTATCTGTTCTTTGGTAAATGATCGGATGTGTGTAGTAGGTTCGTTTTGTGAAATCGAGAACTCGCATTAGAAATCACTGACGGCCATATTTACCCTTGCGAAAGGAGATTGTTCTATCGAGCCCATGGACGATCCACGTTCATTCCGCTGTGGTAACCTTGGGACGATTTCTTCTTTCTTATTTTCTTTTCCTCTTTTTTTTAACCCTTTTTTTTCATCTTGATATTGCCTTGTTTCTCCAGCTTCATCCAGTCAATGCTCTGCTTCTCTTATCTTGCCTCCATCTTTCTCATCTTCCGCGTGCAGCTTTACTGCTCGATAGCTTCTTCCCTGTAGTGCTTTCTTTTCCACTTTCCTGATGGTCCTACTGGATCTTTCGGTCCTAACTAACCATCATCGTGTTATTTCAGCGAAGAGGCATTTGATTGCTAAGTGGTTTTTGATTTTCTATTCTTCTACTATGCCTTTACAGTAAAATCCAACATTGTATTAATCTGTATCGATTGGTATTGATTGCTATAGTGGCTTAGATGTTCATGAACGGAAATCTTTCTAACTATATGAGTATTCTCATTTTCAACCCACCTCCTCCCCGCAGCCCTCGAAGGATAACATCCGTGACCTGGCAAAAACCTACTGCTCTTTTGAAAATCCGAGTTTTGAAGTGTCGCATCCAACTGAATGTGAATACCTCTTTTTCTGAACATATCTTCTTCTCTTTCACTCCTGTGCTGCTCGCAGTTGTGTATAAGTCACGATTTCCATTGATTCCCTCTAATCGATCGATATTCACGCTCATTAGGGCACCATTGGTTCTTCAGTTCTGAGTTGGATGCTGAGGAATTGTCCCTAAATGTTTTTTGTAAGAACTTGCTAGGTACATGAACTTCATGGCTGTTCAGGTTATCTGCTATTAGGATTTTGTTTAAGGCTTATAAAAAAGACAGTCAACGTCGGTTTCACTTCGGTTGGTCGCTTTTTCTCCCTGTATCCATCCCATATATGCTGTTTGAAGATTCCCAACGAGTCGTACACCTTGTCAATCAATAATTCAGGTAGGTTTCAAGTTCAGTAGAACGAATGAAAATGGGCGGAAGTGTCAACATGAGTGAATCATACTGGGTGACATTCTTAACCGCGTTAGCCCTCGACGTTGTTCTGCTACTGAACTTTTGAATAGGACTGTTTATCGACTGGATTGTACAAATCCTTTCTGTGTTGAATCCTCCTTTTTTGTATAAATACCAATATTATGGTTGAATTTTCAACTTGTGGATGGTCATTTTCGTTATAAAAACTGAATTCTTAACTTTTTTATTTACTGCCTATTCTTTTTAATGGCAGGGTAGGTTGCAAAATATAACTTTCATAGTGCTGAAATATAGAAAAGTGAATTCGTTCATCGAAACTCAAGTGAGCATTGGATCGATCTTTGTTTCAGAGGCCGGAACTTGAAGAAGGTAGCTCCAGTGAAGAAGCATGGAATATTTGGTTGAGAACAGCTGGTACGCTGCAGGTGTCGCAATTGGATGGGTTCGTGTTCAAAACTGTTTACGTGGTTTTAGTGTGGATTGATAAGGATCTGATATCGAAGCGTTTCCAACTCGCCTTACTTCCCACTTGTTGTTTGACCGACGCGGATGACTGATATGAGCGTGTTCGAGAATCTGATACAATGTTGTCCCAATATCCCTAGCACTTTTACTGTGTTTGATTATACCATTCATACGTTATACGTTGCAGTCGTAAGTTGGGTAATAGTTTAGAAAGTTCGATTACTATGGGAAGGATTCATTTGTATTTCAGATTGCTGGATCGTTCCTTTTCTTTCGTATACTGCAGTATGTTGTTCGATGGTATCTGTTCGGGAAGTGCTCATTTCGTGCGTTCTCCTACTTTGGTATCAGTGGTCGGAACCAGAATAGTGATAGCAGCAGAGATCTGACGGTATGTTTGCTGTCACTATCAAGATTGTCGCTCGATTACTAGTACCACTTTAAGGTTGTTCCACCGAATAAGAAATGGCGGATATCCAATGAAGCCGTGTCGTTAATTCACTCCGTAGCCAGCGGACTATGGGCTGCTTACGTACTTCTCTTCTACAAACGTCTTTTTGAGGACTTGATTAACGAGCGAACACAAGTAGCGCTGGAATTGGTGAGCTATTTGGTTTGATATCAAGGGGCACGACAATGTGACTTACTTACTCTTTAGGTGTATGTCTCATTTGGTTATCTGTTACACGATTTTTTCGACTTAGTCGTGAACGAGCAGTCTGCTCGTATTATCGAGTTGCTTTTTCATCATATCGTCGTCATCACGGGATTCATTGTAACCTTGGTGAGCTTTTCGAGTATTGTTAGTCGTCCCCACCATTCCAGCTGATGTTGATCATCACTGTGTTTTCCATTTATGAATTCTTTGGTTCTGTAGAAGTAGATTGAGGCCTACGATTTTTTCCGAAGAGTGAGCCGATAGAGAACATAGTGTTTTGTTTTCCTAATTGATTTTGCTTCCCTATTTCGGAATAGGGGCAGACTTTGGTCTAGCCGACCTCGGGACTCCAAGGAACCACAATGCCTAAACCAACAAAACTCCGTGAAAGTGGAGATTATGCTGGAGGCTCGCACAATCAGTGAAGGCGGTCCATCCAAATGTCCAAGTATTTCGGAATGACAAAAGGATTACTTGGCACATGGCGAATGGTTCTCCTTATTTGTTTCAACCATTCATATTTGTGCTAAAATGTTTCAGGTTACTAGAAAATACCTCGGCGTCGTGATGTTCGGACTTTTAATGGAGATAAATTCAGTCTTCCTACATACTAGAAGTTTAATGAATTTGTGGGTTTCTTCTACGTATATATAAGCCTCCTTGTTTTAGACCATTCCTTCAAGAACTTGAGAGAGGAAGTACCAATATGATCAGAAGTTTAGATACGGTGTGAAGAAGAAATCAACGTCCTTCCGTCTCGTTGCATTGCTGAACATCATTACTTTGGCTGTGTTTCGTCTCAGCGTCTCCTTCTATCTGGTTTATTGGGCCGTGAGTAACACTTCGTTTTTTCTGTTTCTAGTGAAGACAGAAAGATCCGACTGAATGCTTCTGATCTTAGTAGAGATCTGGGCTTTTCTTGCTGTATTGTGATAGTTTCTCTAAAATTATATTAGAAAGCGCTGTTTAGTTTCGCTGTGCCTTTTTCTTCAGATATAATTTTTCAGGTGCTGCAAATACCTATTATTCCATGGTTGCACAGCATTTTCACCATTTCTGTGATATTTTCTTTGTTCTGTTCGAATTCGGTACTTGCTTATAGGGTTATGGCTGCTGATGGTCTTTTCGGTATGATTTGAACACTCAAAAAACCGACTTTCTATAAACCTCGGCATAGATAGTTGACATATTTATTTATATAATCTTATAAACTGATCTTCTTTAGCTGATGCGAGCCTGGTATAGGTCTTCATTGTCGTTGTCGTTGTTGTTGGTGTTGTTGGTCGATGGCTGACGTTCCGGCGATTTCGCCTTCCTCGGAGCCTAGACGTATTTTATATTAGAATACTTTAATTATTCGGTGGGAAAAGGGCTAAAGTATTGATGAAGATCAAACTTTTAAATAGATGGTGGGTTAGGATGCTACGGTCAAATGTACTTCTACGCCAAATTGAACGGAAATGCTACTCACCATGATGTTACGAGTGGGACTGGCCCACGCGTTGTTCACGTGAGGTCGCGAGCAAATAAAAGAACTCGTCAAAATGATGAAGATGGAAAGTTAAAAGTCGTCAAAACACTACTCTAGGTACGCATAGAGCACAAAAGCACAACGGCGATGATTTTGAAGTGAGTGTGCGGATTCTAGCGCAGGAATCAAAAACATCAACGCGCAAAACTCTTGAGGCGTTTTGGATAAATTTCAAAAATCCAAAGATGAACCGGGAGGACGAATGCCTCGCTATCACGCGCGACCTGGCGCCCCATTTCAAAATGATGTTTTGACACCGTGGTGTGTCTTGCTCGCTACCCCACGTGAACTACGTGTGGGCCAGTCCCGCACGTAACATCATGGCGAGTGGCCTTTCTGTTCAATATGGCGTAGAACTACATTTGACCGTATCATCCTAACCTACCATCTATTTAAAAGTCTGGTCTTCATGAATACTTTAACCTTTTTCCACCGAATAATTAAACTATTCTAATATAAAATACATCCAGGCTTTGAGGAAGACGAAATCGCCGGAACGTCAGCCATCGACCAACAACACCAACAACAACGACGACGACAATGAAGACCTTTACCTATACCAGGCTCACATCAGCTAAAGAAGATCAGTTTATAAGATCATGTAAATAAAAATTTGAACATTATTTTTCTCGTAAATATAGGGAAGGGACTCTCTCCAAATGAAACGAAGGACCTAAATAGCTATCATATTTTCATATATTAAATGTATGAACAAATTAAATTAGCTGAATATGGAGAGTGGCATGACTAACACACACTGCTCAGGGTCGTCTCGAGCCCGTAAGCCTCCTCCGACTTCTGGTACCGTTACTGACGTTGAGTCAGGTGGAGCTGGTGATATGGAGCGTGATGAAGATGATGAGGTATTTTGAAATAGAATTCATAAAATTTGGCTGATTGGTCGTATAATTGAGTGGGCTTTCTCTGTGCTAGCTTAGAAAAACGTGAAGGCCAGAGCACTTTAGAATATCTGTTCTTAAACTCGCTAACTATGTTAGCATATACGATGGTAACATTATGAGAGACGTCGCCACTGTGCGCTGTTAGGGTTGCAGAGTCTGTCAACAGGTCGATTATCTTTTCTTGCCTACACTTATTCTTTTTAAGCGTTGCTTTTCAATGTGAAAACTCAAACACACATCATATGAACACTATTTTTCGGTAAAGTATCACTTAGTTTTTAACAGATCACAGGTAGGTTGCCCTATGTGTTTATTTGTTCCTCTTTAACTTCATTAAGACAATAATTTGTTCATCCAAGCCATTCTTCTAGATGTGATGTAGAATTCTTCTTACGTTGTTGATGCTCATTGTCTGTTTTTTAAGGAATCACAGCACGAGGTTGGTGTGCAGACAGCAGATTCTCGTGTTCTTGTGGACGACGTAACCCAAACGGTTGCTTAGTGCTGCGTAGTATAAGGGTTATTCCGCACTTCACCTCCTGCCTCGCTATTCTCTTGTTCGTCTAATTGTCTAGAAAACTGAAAATGACGTGGTGTTTTGGCAAACACTTATAATTTATTGAAAGATGCTATACGCTTTTATCTATGTAAGTCCAAGAATTTGTTATCTGTATATGATCCTGGAAGAGCCACTATCAGCGACAACGAATGACACTATATTCTTTCCATTTTTTCCAATTTATCCTTTTTGAGTTTCCTCCAGCATTTGTGCACTTGCTCATACCGGCTTTATCATTTTTGTTTACTTTCTAAATGCTATTTCGAATGATCTTGCCCTGTTGCTTTTGTTTTCACATGATATTTTACGTGTTATTTGATAACTGGAGAATTACATGTAATTCCCATCTTCTGATGGTGCTCCTCTTGCTTTTTTGGGAGTATATCTATAATTCCTAGATTGAAATTCAGTAGTGAGATTATTATATGTGTTGTTTATAAAAGGAATTTCCTACAATAAAGAGCGTTGCGTACCTTGATTGCCATGTTTTATAGTAGTAATATAAAAATGGTGGAAATATGGTTTCCAATACGACTCTACCTTCGATACAGAATGAGTTCTTTTGAGGGTAACTCCCACGATGGAGTTTCTATTAACCTCGGCATTGATCAAGTAATTCTTTGTATTCTTATTGAGCAAACGCGAGGTGTTATTTTTATTCTTTATTCACGAATAAGCCGACGTTTGGGCTGATTTCGCGTTCCTCAGAGCTTGGAGAGGTCAAGTTGACTGCAATCTATTCGGGCAAACACCTCGATAACCAAACAGAGAAAACTAAACCAAGATTTCAATCACATCGAGCACAGCTCTGCACAGTCACCGCTTCCTTTCTGAGGCTTTCACTGAGCGTGTCGCGTGAAGACCAACGGGACAGAATTCATATGGAAGCGTAATGTGCCATTCCCATCAGAATAACAATCTTATATATTGCCCAATATCACGCGTAATAATGAGGCATTCTTCCCTGCGGTTCATTTTCGGAATTCTGGAATTAATCCAGAACGCCTCGAGGGTATTGCACGCTTGTGTCCTCGATTTTTGTGCGAGGATCGTGACACGTACTTCAAAGTTCTCTCCGTTATGTCTCTGGGTCTTACGCGTGCCTAGTGGGGTATTTGGTTGCCGTTTGCCGGCTAGGTGTTCTTTTATGCGGACACAGAGGGGTCTGCCTGTTTCGCCAATGTATTCGTCTCCGCACGCCTCACAAGAGATCAGATAGACTGTACCCGAACTCATGCAGTCACCGTCTCTACCATTGGGGCAAATTATGCAATTTTGCGTTGCACATAGACGGTCATATAGGCGGTTACTTACTAGCTGGCGCCTAAGATTACTCGGTGGCATTTCAACTACATTTACCGAATTCTCTAGACCCGCCCTTCTTAAGCAGCGTTTTAGCTGCCCTTACACCATTTGAGATGAAGGGTAGGATAAACGGGACCTTTTTCTCTCGCTAGAGTTGCCGTTTGGAGGCCTAGGATTTCTCCTACACTTACCCCGAGCTATAGTTTCGTAGCCATTAGAAATGGCTATTTGCCGCGCCGAGTTCCGGGACTCCTCTCTCTGCTCTCTTTCCGTGTACACGTTGGTTGCTGTTCGAAACATGTTTCTTACAAGCGCTTTTTTCGTGTAAGAGGGGTGAGAGGAGAGGTAATGAACCAAGATGTTTTTACTACTTGGCTTTCTGCACCACTTCGTAATGTAGCCATTTTCTGACAGGTTAATTTAGAAGTTCAGGGATGGAAGCCATTTTTCCAAACTCTCGAGGCGTTCTGGATTAATTCCAGAAATCCGAAAATGAACGGCAGGGAAGAATGCCTCATTATAACGCGTGATATTGGGTAGTATTCAAGATTGTTATTCTGATGGGAGGGGCACATTACGCTTCCACGTGAATTCTGTGCGATTGGTCTTCACGCGTCATACTCAGTGGAAGCCTCGTAGAAAGCGGTGAGTGTTCAAAGCTGTGTTCATTGCGATTGAAATCTTGATTTAGCGTTTTTTTTTTCAGGGTGTTGCTTTCTACAAAAGGCGAAGTAATAAGATGGATCTTCAGAATACCTACTTGGATATTTTGATAGCCCGTCTTCACTTGTTGTCTGATCCACAGCATAATTTCCATTGTTTCGGAGTTTTGCTGATTTTGCCACTGTCGTTCCCTCGAGTCCTGAGGTCAGCCGGGCGAAAGTCTGCGCGAGGTTGTCACCACCACATTCAGTCGCAGCCTTTGTGGATCAGAGGTGGATTTGCTACCACGCGCCTAGTCTGATACTAGGACAATGACGAATCGTGGTATCGGTGTACTCTTGGCTAGGCTTCCTGATGGGAACGCCGGACTCAGCTTGGGAGACCCTGCCCTGGAATGAATCCCTCCGCTCTATATCGCAACCCGACACTCAGGTACACTTCCCGGCCACTATGAGACGGTAAACCATTGGGAGGGATCCTGTGAATACGAAGAATAAGAATAAGAGTCGAAAGATTTTACTTGACGTACAGTTAATTTCTATGGAATGGATATTCACTGATCATCTGATGAGTATGATGATGATCGATAATATCTATTCGGCAGAAACAAACTCCAAGCGAAGGAAAACTTTTATTTCTTATTCTTATTCTTCGCATTCTCAAGCTGTATGAGAAACGACGGTAGTAGCCTCATGGGGTATTCTTAGGCCTAAAAACCAGCAGGTGCCTCTCTGTATTGGCATTCTGAATTAGATAAACGCACTGGAGATGAACGAATGCACGCTTAATGAAGAACTAGGTGTATAGATGTCGGCTCATGATGAAATATTTACTAAACAGAATCTTTAAACACATGAAGAGACACAAACAAGTGAATCTCAAATGGGTAGCAAAAAATTTCTGTGCGACGAAATAAACCACCAAAAGGATATAGGTCGAGATTAGTGCACTTTGTTCGTTTCCCCTTCCATGCATGTACAACATTCTTGGGCTTACTGTGCTAAAGATAAATCCGGAATTGCACGAAGTTGAGATTCTGGGCGATCTTTCCGGAGCCAAAGTACGGATTGACTGTTTGCTCACGTTTTCATCTGAAGTTCCTCATCAAAGTTGGCACTATTTCAGCGAGTGTGCATTTCTTCACGGCACTGTGTTCACGCATGGGATGACAATGGCCATTAGTCTTCTCTACGTTGCACTGCAATCTTTACTTTAAAAAGTGTAGGATACAGAGTAGGGTCCATGTGGTCGAATTGGGCAGAAACAATACGAGATTTCTCCTTTCTGGGATCTCGATCACAACGTTATAAGCTGAGTATAATACTTTTCGATACATCCACATTCGGTTATTTTCATGAAAGCACTGTCCAGTAAATAGGATCTTCATTAGTCTACAAGAGATTTTAGAACTCCTTAACATCGAACTAGTATGCAGCCAATCCTCTCTAAGATACGATAAACGAGTTCGTTATGTGATAATAATTGTATCCATCGACGTGATGGACCTTATGGACTCCCAGAAATCTCGAACATTAACATTATTGATCTTTATGACACTGCAATATTCCATTAAAATTTCATGTTTGACGTCTGATTATCGTTCTTGTCTATCTCCTTGTCAGGACTTTGCGCAGTTACGGGATTTGAGCGTAGCGTTTGCGTTTTTTTCTGTGGAATCAACGTCGCTATGAGTAACTTCTCAAGATTTGCCGTCGGGATCTCGAACAGGCAACTCCAGATGAAAGCGAGCAAGTACGAGAGTACGACAACAGGAATCACCCGATAGACATACTGAAAAATTATAATAAATCTAGGGAATGATGGAATGTCATTTAAATTGATTGGATCAAGGGGCGAAAACAATTGTATCTCTTTATATGATAGAATTAATGTTGCAAAAGCAGCGAGGCTGTGCATGGAACCCTTCGCAAGCTACCAATTTTATTATTCGTTTTGCCAAAACGTGGGTTCGATCTACTTTGATGCATAGATGGCCTAATGCGTTTTTCAGGAGATCTTTGCAGGAAGATTTACATCGGTATAGGCAGAAAAAGTTATTGGAAGCAGCTCAAAAACAATCTCTGAAGAAGTGCGTAGAGATCTTTGTGACCATAATGTTCCGCTCTCCGCCCTGGTGAACGAAGATGGGACCATAATGACAACCCACTTCCCTCCGCCGAAATCCCCGCTACTAAAAAATCGCCTAGAACTCTGAAGTTCAAGTTGCGACAGAAAGCATGAAGAGAAGAACAACTCGAGGACTCGTTAATATCATCGCCAATTTGCTTAGAAATAGAGGGCACAAATTACATGTGCTTATCGCTACCAATACGACATCTTACTTTCAGAAAGGGAAAATCGCAGACCAGTCAAGGACCTCACTCACAGTGATTCTCCCCAAGAAGGATAACCAAAGGGATCTCCATAACTGCCGTTCAATATGATTGTTCAGTGTACTCTACAAGCTGCACACGAAAATTATCATTTTGCGAATACCGAAGTCCTTAGACGAGGCATAATTAGTTAAGGAAACAGAGTACCTAGGACGATCAATGAACATGGAAAACAGCATGAAGGAGAAATTAAGCCGAAGAAGGAGAGCAGTTTTGTCCGCATTCGAGCCATTAAAAGAAGCTATTGACCAACTAACGGACCCATACTCCATCGCTCACCTTTCAATTCAACAGTGCTCCCAGCGCTCTGTTATGTAGCGAAAACATGGCCTGATACGCCAAACACGCCAAGAAATTTGTGGACCACCCAGAAAGCACTTGAACAATGTCCTCTGAAATTTAACCGGCAGTGACAACGTCTAGATGGAATGCGCAGCTCAAATATGCGAAACCTCTCCCATCTGCCGGCTCCAGGAAAATATGCAGCAGTAGCGAAACACAGATGGGTCGGCAACGTAAGAAGAAGAAAAGATGACAGATGGACGAAAAGAACTATGAAGTGGACTCCAAAAGAAAGCAAGCATCCTCGTTGAAGACCACCCAAAATATGGGAAGAAGTGTTTGTGGCTATAGCCTATATTCATTCGAAAATGGAAACTTAGGAATATGGAATAGACTTCGCGGACGTTACCGTATTTGAAGTGGACCACCACCATAGCCGATGGTTGCGCGAACGAGAAACGAATGGCAATTATGCTGGCACCCGTACAACCAATGAAGACAGGCCATCCAAATCCGAAAAAATTAAATCCTTTTCTCATTTTTTTGGCCTTTAAGCAATGTTGCATCATTGATACTTCTCGGAAATGTGGATATACTACTGGCTAGACGAAGACTGGTATGAAATAAAGCTTCCAGTAATACTTTAGTCCTGCTAGACTCAGGCAATTCATTCCATCTACCGCTGGTGCTGATTATTAAGGGTGTTAGTCCTCCTTTCGATCATGTTATTTATACTAAGGTAGAAGCGTTCCCAACTTTGTGGTAGTAGATCTTTTAGTAACTTAACAAAAGCTGCACTCCTTAGTCGCGTATTTGTAGGTATCTGTTAATGAAAGGGAAGGATTTTATCAAGAACTTTTATACTTGAACGGCCGGTCCTCACTGGTTGTGTGGGCCCCAGCATAATCACTATTGTTCGGAGATTTGCTAGTCATTGTGGTTCCCTGGAATCCCGAGGTCGGCTTGGCCAAAGTCTGCCCCAGGTCTTCACCACCACAGGCAGTCGCAGCCCTTGTGGACCAGAGGGAGATTTGCCACCATGCGACTTTGATACCAGGACGGTGGTGGATCCTGATATTGGTTTATTCTTAGCTAGGCCTCAGCTTGGGAGACCCTGTCGGGGAGACGAACCCCCCGCTGTACATCGTAGTCCGACACCCAGGAACACCTCCCAGCCACGATGAGGCGGCAAACCGTTGGGAGAAGTACTTCAATATCAGTATCAATATCAACCATAATAATATCGATGTCAATGCCAATCATACGTCTACACTGACCGCTTGCCACATGGAAATGAGGTTGAATGGCCGATCGTCCAAGTTGAAGACGTAACGAATAACGAAATAGTGCACAATATAGGCGCAATACGACAGTTTGCCTAATGGTTGCCAAATTGGATGGTCCATGAAGGTCGCAATAAGGCCTAAAACACTAATGTGAAGGTAAACGTAGAGTGGTTTATATTTTTACAAATGCTTTTGCACATTGTTTTGTTACCTGTCACCTATTTTCCCTTTACCTAGCGAGTTACTCCCACGGGAACCAGTAATGGCTCCATGCGTCGTCACCGTATGCAGAATTGCCCTGTGGCTATTTGGTGGAAAGCAATGGAGGGTATCATATTTTTCGTTCAGGATTAGTTCAAGGTAATCACATAGAACTTTGATAATCGGATCGGTGTGGTTCACAATTTCACATCCTGTGTAACTGAATTGTTGATGACTATTGTCCAGACGCAGATACAAATAGTCGAAGCACCAGAAGTGTTTGTATCGTTGAATAGCTCTAGAACGAATTCCGTCTGTTAAGAAAACGGTTCTGTTGAAATTCAGTAGAACAGCGACTTTCTCTAACTTACAAAATTAATCACTACTAGTTTTTCCCGGCTAATACTTGATGTTACAAGCAATACATTATATTCGACGCGAAGAATTTGCGGCTGCTGGACGTCGATTATCATTTCCGAACTAAACTATTCCCATCTTCATGGCACCTCCTCAACAATGGTTCTAAATAACGTTGGTGAGACGCGATCGCTTACTTCTTTCTTATGGCAGCGATTATACTGCGGGATGGCAACATTGATGTTGTGGAGCTGTTGTATGGGTAAAGAAGAATCATTACGTGAGCACGAACCTTGTGAGGTTTTAGGGCTTTCTGATTGCTTCCGTCACAACTGGATCGAGGACTTTTTAAGTCGATTAATGGGGAACAAATTTCACCTTTTATTTATGCAACGTTTCCATTAGCTCTTTCGCTGTTTGGATATTGTACATATGAACAATTCTTGAACTAGCATTTGTTCTTGACTATCCTCCATCTTATACTTTATCTATACTGTTGAAGATTATTTAGGTGAAGAGCTCGTAAACGAGATACATCAAGCAGATTGAGCGATACCTACAGATGTGCATTCGTTTCCTTTAACGTTGCGTTGGTATATTCATCATCACTGTGATTTCACAAAGCCGACAACTGCATGTCGTAAAGCTCGAAGTAAAAAGATTAGGTGGACTATTAAATGTGTTAAAAGGAAGCGTGTGACGCAGTGATCGGAGGCCCCTCCAACACACACGTTGAAATGATCCTGTGCCGATGGTCCACCAAGCCTTCCATCGCTCCGGGGTCGGTAAATTGTACCAGACTTGTCTGGGGGGATAGCAGCACTGGGTCGATACATCGGTCGAGTCATTGTAAAGGCCAAATATGCATTCAATCACCTCCAAACGACGCTTAATGAAGTCGAATGCATGACGCATCCGTCAGGGATTGATCAACTCCGACAGCTTTATCCTTTTTTTATCCTTTATTAAATGTGTTCCTTTGCAGATGGCTGGAACTCTTGCGAAAGACAGCCGTGTTTTTTTGCAAATGGCAAAGTAAAGACGGACATTGTATGAATTTCCAGCTATCTTAACCGTTACTTCCGTTGTTTAATGTCTAAGATATTTTTTCGTTCCTAAGTAGAAACTTGTCAACCTGGACTAAAATTAATGAATTCTAGTAGCCGCACGCATACTTTTCTAACACTGCTGTCAGCATGCTGAATGGGCCAATCATGATCCTCTCGATGACAGAAATAACGTTATTTTCCTGAAAGGCGAACCTGCTTGATATTTGTGGATTTCTCTTCGCGCGAAAGAAGACTCATGAACAAGAAAGTTTTCGATCCCATGTGAGAACAAAGGACAATGGTAATATTATTTAAATATTTTCCATTGAAGATGACTTGGTAGAATTTATTAGGTTGACATCAAAGTGCAATGTTGAGAACGGGGCTTGTAGAAACATGAGTCTTGGATATTCTAGATCGTGGTGATAAATTCGTCGAGTTTTTCAACTTGTTTGCCCCACTTCTTTCCCCTGATTCCGATATAAGGCTTTTCAGACACTCCATTCCAAATGCCATGGTGCTAAGGTCGTCTATGACAAAGTTTCGGTGCCTAATTTGTGTTGCAGGACCTCCCCAACTCTATCTCTCGATCTTCGCCATTGTTTCTAGAGATTTAAGTGACAATACGGTCGAAGTCGGTGTTGGTCCACATGTTTGTATCCACAAATCTTCGGCAATTATTTCTATCAACATTTGTGGCGAAGAACTTCCATGATATTCAGTGGAGTCAAATGCGTAGCACTTCTCTGAGGAAGAGATTAACACTGAATACTTGCTTGGCGCTTCAACCTTCCCCATGAGTTGCCCATCGAGTTTTGACTTAAGAGGTAGATACACCCATGATACCTTGATATGGTTACGAAATCAAAATTTGGTTACTTAAAAAGGACTTGAAGAGATAGACAATGAGGAACGATTGGTAGGGATTTCCCTTAGAATTAAACTGCTCTATAAATACATCGAAAATAGATAAAGCTGCGATACAGTAAGAGCAAAATCGCCTAACAGAACCTCCCCATCCGAGGTGATTCGCCACTATGACCCAAGACACCGCCAACGCCCAACCGATTCGCGAGAGATTGTTGTATGTCCCACGTGTAAACTTACTGAAATTGAACCATTACTAGAGCGATGTTACTATCATTGCAAATACGTTGTATAAACATCTTTGGAGAATAATTTCTTTGGGGTTGCAAGAAATGAAGGGCAGAAAAACAGCTATTTCAGCGAAAACTCTCATGTTGCGGGTTTTCGATTTGCTAATTTACGCACTAGTACCGCTTATGGTTTAGTACTATTCCGAAATTTTCTTCCTGATCAACATATCTTCATGGGTGGGAGCTCAGACAGGACAAAGGAGTTGGCAGTCCCAGGTAGAAGGAAGGGTCATATGGAACTATCTCGAATTGTATGCTTAATTGAGGAGCTACGCTTCTGGACTTGGTCGCGAGAACGATTTCTAGTTTTGGTAAAGTAGTCGAAGTAAGAATGGTCCTCGTGTACTTCACCATGTTCGAGGCAAACCATCGCCATAGAGCGACCCCACGCGAGTGAGAAACGAGTGGAAATTTCGCTTGGGTCTGCACTGCCAGTGACGACGAGTCATCCAAGTATTCAAGTAAGTAGGTCGAGGTGCGCATTATTGCGATTAACTTTTCCTCATCGTAAGGTACTTGCAGTCTTTCTGGCTTTCATTGATTTCATTGAGAAAGCTCGCCGTTCATTAAGAAGTGCAAAAAAAATCGAATTCTCTTGCTTCTGTGGCTACTCATTCTCGTCTTTGTTTGCTGATAGCAGTTGTTTTCCTACCACTAGTTGCTAATACGAACTGGTTGTGTTTAATCTTTTACGAATAGAAGATGTTGTTTGAGTGGACGAAAAATTTTTCGCAAAACTCAGTCCCGTTTACCGGCTGATTGCTGATGGCACTGGTAGATAGCATACTTGTTGAGAGAAAAGTCTTCTACTCGTCCACCGTGGGCCCTCCGTGGTGCAGTGTACAATGCGGGAGCTCCCGGAGAGGGAAATCGGAGTTCAAGCTGGTCCGGGGTCCCAGGTTTGCGAATATCTCAGCATCGTTGTGGTTAACTTTGCATAATAACCTGCCGTGAAAATTGTGATAGGTAGTAAATAAAAAAGTAAACATCGAACACTTTTTGCTACCATAACACTCGATAAGGTGTCGCCAATATTTCTTCAAGCGCAGGCTAAGGGAGAACGCTTCTACGTTTTCGTCCTGAGTTCCTATTCTTCAATGTTTTTTACTTTGACGTTATTTTCATATTAGTGAATTTACATCAACTTCAGGTAAAAATGTGTTGGCAACTGAGTTTTTTGCCTAAGGTGATTTTCTATGCGATTTTATTGCCCACTCATGGGAAGTCAGATTTACCTCCAGTTGTCTTCTCCTATTTGGTAGTCGTGAATTCCGTATAGACAGCAGAGGGCAACTGAAGTCGCGATAACCCAACCCAAAATAATCGCTACCTGAAAATCTGCTGTTTAGACTATTTCGGTGCATGACGTACGTCAAATTATAGGACTCACATTAACAGTACTTTGGGAAACTTATGATGGGACATTCAATTATCTTCTTCCCCGCCCATTAATTTAGAGATTCACGCGCAATCAAATCTTGTTTTAATCTGGTGCTTTGAACTTCAACTCGATATAAAATACCTTCCACAGTTATTGTTGCTAATAGACCTCTTTCTATTGATCTTGATTCTATTCAGAAAAAAAAACCATGCAGAATTAGAACTAAGCGAGTGCCACACGCAACCTAAGAGCGACAATTGGGTTACTGACCTTAGGAAGCTTCGGTTTCCTTCTTATGCATTGTGCTAGAAAATACCCGACACCCATACCAACGAGGTATGGAGGGCATCGCGTCCATGGTTGCTCATAGTATTCGTTGAAGAATAATAGTGTATTCCTAAACAAAGGATAATATTTAGCGTTCTCATGCCAACATGGCACCACTCGTACGTTACACGTCATAGCCGTAGCTATTAGGTTTGTGACAATATTTTTTACACAACGCCACAAATAGCGTAACATTTGTGCTACGAACTAAAGCATACGTCACCTGGCTTCAAACGCTCCCACAAATATCGCTGGCAGATCATCTCGATATGTTATCACATAGGTATAGACGACACTGGCCGCAGTGCATAGTAGAAGCACGATGCATCCTAGGTAAATTAGAAGGAAATATTAAATCTAGGAAAAAAGTGAGCAAGTAGAATCCAGAATCACTGCAGCATCAATATTTAGCGTACTATCTAGGTCTATTCCACGAATTTCCCATAATGAGATCATCAGCTAGTTAGAAACGATGCTACATAACATATTTCCAGGTGGCAAACAGGGAACTAACGTGGACTAAAAGCAACCTTGTGCGTGGATGCAGGTGGTTTCAAGGGATGATCACTGTTTCTGCTGTTATTGGGTGTACTTGCGTAAATGCGGTTTGCATACTGTAAGTCGGCCAAAGCTGTGCAATCAAGTGTTTCCATAGAATATAGGTGGTTAGAGGTCAGCTACAATAAATAAGATTCACCTCCACGCTGCGAAAGACCGGCGAGCTACCCGTATGTATAAGTAGTGAAAACAGTAAAATGAGTGCACCTAATATTCTTGTTTCAGGAAGGTCTCCCGATATGGCAGCATTGAGTTGCACTACGAGTGCGGAGATGCTGCGAAAATCTAATAGCTGTTTTAGGCTGACTAAATCTGGATGAACTGAGGTAACGACCTGCATTTATTACTCATGCGGGATAGTATCTGAATCTTTCATTGAAGAATCGGCAGTACTAACTAAGAAGATTAGGTGCGACGTTATCAGATTGGGCGTGCAATATGCCACTATTTAATGCTTTTATGGTACCGGAGAGAAATTCTTCCTCAGAACATGCGATAATCGAAGAGTCGGCCACGTTAGCCTCCTCCTCAGCGTCTTTTGTTGTAAACGACGGTTCTCTTAACGACTAACGACTCGAATCCTTTCTGTTAAATGATGTGTACAAACACCGATTTTAACAATCTTTGCCGTCTGCAACTCACATCAATCCATTACAAAAATTAGATTAATGCATTTTTCACCAAGTTCTACAAAATTTGAAGCCATTTTTGGCTATCTCATTGCTAAGATTGAAGTCAGGACAACGTTTGAAGAACTTCGCATCGGGCCCCACGGATTTGAGGGCGATTAGCAGTTGCCTGTTTATCATGGCGACTAAGACCGGTATCTCACAGATCCAGAAGCACCACCCTCAATCTTGAATGCATAGGGAAATAGATAAAATTAAAGTGAATTTGAGACTTTTCCGAACCAATGTCGTTGTTGTTGTAAAATTTTGCATGGGATGTGATCATCACCTTCTTCGCGCAGGATTGTTTTTTACCGAAAAGGGAGACATTATCAGAGCTCAAGAAGCGAAATCCTAAACCCAACATAAACTCTGATTTACTTAGGTCAGTCGAATTTTAGAAAGATGGCGTTTTCGATGACATCGATGAGAAGTGCAACGGGCTTATTCAACGTTAAGGTATGTGTTAAGAAAGTCGAGCGTTGGAATGTTGACAAAAGAACTATGCCTCCAGGACCATGTGGACGAACAGACCATCGTGGAAGATCACGAAGCGTAGGCAATCACCCTCTGAACTTGTTAAACCTTTGTGGAAAGGAGATGAAAGAACATTTTGCAGAGGGAAGAGCCACCGCAATGGCTGTAGCTGCAGAGGTTAGGACGGTGATCAGCGATGATCTCCGATAGTTGGCCAATTGCAAGATTACAACTATTAGTTGATCATCCTTCACTCTCAGACGGAAGAATCTCGAAGGAAGAGAGGCAATGAGAAAAATCACCAATATTTCTTTAATGTCTTCGTAAGCTTTCCTGCCTTCAGATGAAATCAAGGAGGACGTTTATGTCCTAATGGTTTGTCCTATTAAAATCCGACATGCTATCTTGACGGTAAAGAACAGTGCACCACCCGGTCCAGACAGGATTTGAATAGAATGTCCGAAGAACCTTACGCCAAGTGTCACCAAAACAATGGCTTGGCTGCTGACACGTTATTTCTTTGAATGCAACATTCCCAATCAGTGAAAGACCAGCAGGGCTGCGGAAGTATACCGTACCACGCGAGTTTTAAAAAATTAAACTTCCGACCTACGTCAACCGCGGTAGATTAGAAATAACGCTAAACATTCCAAATTCTGAAAAGTCAGGCGGACCAGGAACATAATGCGTCTTAACGACATTCCGTGAATAAAAGCTTCTAGCGACTAGGCAGAACGAAACCCTAGAGCAAACAAAATCCAGTGGGCCATTGTTAAATATGAGAAAAACAAACACAGAAATCAGTGACGTTATCTCCTGCCAATCGATGACAAACGTGAGCACAAATGATGCTGATTAATGAGAAAATACCGTTGGAGAAATACCACGTTTATCCGGTAGTTGTAGGGTGATTGACGAACACGCAGGAGTTCTGGGACTATTTGTCCGGATCTGCTTGGTCAGAAGAAAAGTGACGGCAGATCTCGAACTCATTGGAAAACCTACGGGATACACTAAAATCGAAAGATTTGATAAAGTGCTGGTTCGATCCGCTTCCCCATGCCTCAGCGCCCTTTTTCAATCCATGTGGTAATGCCTTCGCTCGGCTGTCTCCAAAATTGCAAGCGGAATCGACCCGAAAAGGTAGCAGCCGAAACAACACGCGAAACTTTCGAAGACCTCTATGGACGTTGAACGCGAGGAAAACGAATAGAATGCACGAACTACTGGGATTCGCACACAAAATGTGATGAGAGGTCATGTGAAATATAAAAGCTAAAAAAAGCCCCAGCGTTGATCAATCCCTAAGGAATGCGCCATACATTCGACTCCGTTAAGTATCGTTGAAGGTGATTGAATGCATATCTGGTCTTTACAGTGACTCGCGGTGACCCACCTATATATCGAGGTAGCGCTGCTATCCTACCAGACAAGTCTGGCACCAATTTACCGAACCCGGAAGAATGTAAGGATGATGGGCCATAGGCGCGGAGATCGATTCCACGTGTGTGGCGCCTCCAACCACTGCGCTACACGCGCCCATGTAAAGTGTATAAAATGAAATAATCTTTTTCACCGTTTCCACTTAATCCATCTTTTATCCACTAAGTCTACTTTGTAATACTGCGGAAAAAGTGCTCTTTTGAGTCGTCTCATTTCAAGGGTTCGGAAATAGATGCAGTTGCAAAGGTAGAGAACTGAGAAATGGAAAAACGGTTGGAATAGCGATGTAGATGAAGATCCATATGTTGAAGCAACTAGCCTGAGCTAGGCAACCACCGATGTCACACGCCCTCGATACCTTTGCCAAGACGAAGTTCTCTGTTACATCGCTGTTAACAAATTGTGGAATCATAACGCCGACACATAAGTACTGTTGTTTGCTACTATAGATTTTTTACTTGGTCGCAATTTGTATTCCTGGACTAGACGAATGGAATTTTTCATCAATCATTAGTTAGGGAGTTTTTGAGGATTCGCATGGTTAGCCTAAAGATGCCGTTTTCATAAGCTAGACCGCATGTGTACTTCAACGTTCTACTTGTGTTGTTTTAACGGTTTTATGAATAGTGCGCTGATGTTGTCTACGTCACCTCTTCGTGGTAAGCCGGAAACCTTCATATTCAACCTGCACTTATGAAAAGTCGAAAGGTTTGTTGGGCTGCTGTTTACTTATGAGGGGATAAATTGCAGTTGCGACAATAAAGTAAAACTATCTTGATTGAACCCATACAGGCAATCGACAAGAAGGTTTGGTCTACCCAATATCAGTGACAATCTTGAGGCAAAAGACCTAACTGCACGAACCATAACGTTGAAGACGGCTCACATATTTTATTTTGAAAATGTAAGAGGAAAAACCTAGGGCACAACCCTGCTTTCTTCGATAAGCAGCGCCGTGCGGTACGCTAAATTTCAATAGCGATTGTGTTAGTAACTGTCTTACCCATTATGAAGGTACGATGTGACGGATATTTCGTTTAAAACAAACTTTCCTTAACGAGAAAACTACTTATGAGAAGTGCTTTAGATAGTACTAGAGAAGCTTACCGATTAACGGAGAAATGTATAGTGCAACTAGAAAAATTGGCGCTACCATGTATAGTTGCGTGTCGACAGCCAAGTACCAGGTGATCCCGTAACAATCCTGCAAAGAGGCTGCACTTTTAATGTAAGCATGTACAGGTAAGAAGCCGAGAGCTTGCTGCATACAAAAATATAATAGCGCGGAACTGCAAACGATTCGATAGTTCGAGTGCATACCATATGGTCACTGTCTTAGGTAGACACCCACTTACTTGGATGACCCATTCTCACTAGTATTGTGGGTTACCAGCACACTTTCATTTTTTTCCTTCTAGCGCAATCGTCGTATATGGGAGTCGTCTGCTAAGAACGTGATGACGACCGCGTGGCACATTTCGTAATATTAAAATCGTTTCCGTCTGCAAATGCAAATGGCTGGCAGCCACGAACACATCCGCCCATCGTTTAGTTTTTTTTTTAGCGTGAGAGGGCGCTTAAATCCTTTTGGAGTCCACTCCACTGTTCTTTTTGTCCATCCGTTATCTGCTCTTCTTATTATTTGACCGACCCATTCATGTTTCGCTCTTGATGTATATATATTCTCCTCGATCCCGAAGATAAGATAGGTTTCCATGATCTAAGATGTGAACTCCGGCTAGACGTTGTCGGTACCTGTTAAATTTCGGAAGAATCGTTCAAGCACTCTGTGAATAGTGCGAAGCATTCTTGACGTAGTTGAAGTATTATGCCACGTCTCTATTGCACAACAAACCTCTGGGAGAACTGCGGAGTCGAAAAGGTAGACGCAGTCTCGTGTGTTTTGGCTGGTCGATAGCTTCTTTGAGAGAACCGGATGCTACCCAAGCCGCTCTCTTTCTTCTGTATAATTATTCCTTCATTGTTCTCCAAGTTCATTGGACGTCCATGTCAAACACACGAGGTGCTCTTTGTAATCAGTGAATAACCCAGTTCGATTTCTTCGCCTTCTCACTGTGAGTTTTTCATGAACTGGGTCTTCGTCCTATTTATGCGCAGTCCAATCTTTTCCCTGCTTTCTTGAATTTATCGATCATCGTCTCTACTTCGTTGGTACTTCGTGAATAGATGACGATATCGTCGGGGAAACGAAAATTTAATAAGAATATTGCATCAATACATATGCCTTTCTCATCCTAATCGAGTGACTTCATTATCCACTGCAGTGCGGAAGTAAACAGCTTTGGCTGAATGGTGTCGCCTTGTCGAACTCCTTTTCCTATAGGTATGGTAAGCCATCGATAGAAAAACTGTATTTTCGTGGTAGGGTTCCGATAACATTAAGAGAAAGACAGAGAGAGAGAGAGAGAGTTCCTGTGTTGGACAGGTCCACTACTTGGCCGATGAACGCTGATGGGATTGCATTCGTGTTGAGGCTGCCAAACGTCTTTTAATAGTAGATAGAAATCAGGTTTAGGGGGAAGTGCTATTTCCGACAGACTTCTATTACTTGGGAGACTGCTTGGATGTGATCCGTGCGGCAGAACATTGTCGAAATTCTACCTGCTCAGCTGGTTGTGCCTCACTCAATGTCTTTGATATGCGCAAAAGGATAATCTTCTTGAACAGCTTTTAGGTGATCAACATTTTTATTGGACGGCAGTTACAAAGATCCCTTCGCTTGCTCTTGTTGGGTAGGATGACCGTGCACGAGGTCCTACAAAGGTATGGGACTTTCTCTTTCTGAAAGTAAATGTCATGTGAGTTCCGAGAAGTAATTGTACATGTAATTTGTTTCCACCAGCTCTAAGGAGATCGGCGGAGATAGTATCGGATTCTTGAGCTGTGCCTACCTTCATGCTTTCTATCGCAACTCGAATTTGCGTTGGAAGAATCCCGGAATGTTTTCTTTCAGCCGGGATTTCAGCATGCGAGACAGTGACTTGGAGGAACAAGGTTAGTACAGAACCTTTCCAGCAATTCCATATCATTACGGGATATGGTATTAATCCCATCTTCATTCATCAGGAGCGATTGTCGGTTTTAGCAAGGGATCATGGTGGCAATTCTTCAGACTAGATCGCTTTTAAACTACCACCAATTACTAGTGTGCCTTTGCCAGTGTAAATCCTCCCACAAGGACCTTCTACAATTTGCATTTATTACCTGTCGTGTTAGTTGTGTTGAAATAGGATCAGGCTTCAGTTTCGTTCTATTTTTGAGTAACTACTCAGCTGTAATGGAGATGCTGTCTGAGCTTTGAGGAACTGAGGCCAGTTCGGCACAAGCTTTATGTTCTTCGACAAGCAGGTTGTAGTCCTCTATAGAGCCTTCGTTTATCTGCCAGTCATATGAGGAGAGGATTTTATTGAGAACAACATCGTCATAAACGACTTATTTCGTTTCACTTGGGCAATAACATGACCTCTTTTCCCGCTTATGGCTGAACCGAATCCTCGCACAGAGAAAGCGGTGGCCAGATCCAGTACAGAATGAAATGATGGCACCACAGTAATGTCGAGGAGGCACCGTTTTTTGTTCGTGAGAATATGACCGATCTCAGCATGAGTTGTGTTGTTTAGTGTTTCTTACGTACAACGGCGACTTTCTCTCTAATGAATCCATATAGAATAAAAATCTTGTGGACAGGAGGCTTGCAGGACGATTTTCATTGTCATTTCGATCTCGTATTCCAAATTCCCTGTTCTCTATCTATTATCTATGTATCTATTCTCGTTGGCTGTTCCTAATCTGGCATTGAAATCTTAACAGCAAATTTATAGAAGGGCTTCTCGTTGAGGATCACTTTCTCTGGCTAGTTGTAAAATGTTTTTAGTTCGCTAACATCAGCTTTAGTAGCAGTTGATGATTTCGGCCTTCTTTTCATGCGGAAGTTGGAGACGTTGAACCGTTAAGCGAGTGGATGTCATCTTGTATTAGGAGACTAGATGAGAACTGGATGGATGTACGGCAAAGGCACCACCTCGGACACTTCGTAATAGAATTTTTTCCTCTAGGATGGCAATCGTCACTTAATGGAACTGACGCATGTTGGTCCGAATTTTCTCTCTTATAGAGCAAGCACACAGTATTTGCTGCAATAGGCTGCCCCGAGAACGCTAGAAATCGGTGTCTGAGGAGAGTATTCTAGTTTTATAGACTCAGGACGGGAAATAGTCTTCATGGCTTGTCATGGGCGTCTTAGTTTGGTCCGCTTCCAATGACGTCCTTTAAAACTCGGGATTTAATCGCTTCTCATCGTTCGTAATCGTGGACGCGAACGCACCGCGTGCGGCGTACTGAGGATAATTTATTACTGGTTGGTGTATTAGTAAAACCTGCAATCCGAGGGTTACATTGCTGAACCTTTCCTCTGGTCGTCACCAAAGACATTCGCCGGTCCTTGTGTATCAGAGGTGGATTTCCTACTTTGCCTCTATTTTTATAGCAAGACGACATTAATCCTGATACCACTTGCTCTTCGTAAAGCTACTGGATGAAAACGTTGAACACATTTTCAGCTTAGGATGCTCTGTTTCATAGGTATTACAAATCCCACGCAGTTCGACATGCAGGAACATTCCCCGTCTAAGACAGAATGGTAAATCATCGGGTTAACCGTGATACTAGGGAAAAGATTAATATCGTATATAGTGAATAGCAAACCTCAGAAATATTAAAGAAGTTGTTGATGTACAGCATGTTTCGCCACCAGTGCTGTTGGCATAGCCGAATGTCATCTTCGACTATGCCAATCCCACCACCCACTGACGCGCTCCATGGTCCATTGGTGAATGGAAGAAAGACGACAAAGAACCAGATGAAGATCATTATCGGAGGAGTCAGTCTTAATACACTTCAATAACACAATGTTCTTAAAGGAGTTTAAAAGTATAGCATCAAAGCGTTAAATATCAGGTGAATACCATGTTGGTTGTCTCAGCATTTTCGCAACAACGCCCATTTATTCTCCAAGAAAGTTCCTCTGAGTAAGCGCTTTCATGGGAAATCAATGGTCAACTAGTGATGAATTGGTACGAAGCCCATATATATATATATATATATATATATATATATATATAT